AATAGTGAATTTTCAAGAACTGTTAAGAATAAAACTAGACTTATAATAGGTTTTTTGTATTATTATTTATCCGAAATGAAAGTGTGCTAATAAACAAAACATTATAAGTCTAGTTTTATTCTTAACAGTTCTTGAAAATTCACTATTAAGCGATAATTTTATAATGTTTCCAATTTCTTGTTTGCTCAAGCTTTTTAGTAGTCTGTAATATTCCAAAGGTTTAACTTTGTCATCCTTATTTATAATTTCCTTCAATATTTCTTGATATTTCTTAGTTTGATTTCTTTTTGGCCAAATGGATACGGTGTCATCAAAAGTTTTATACAAAAAAGTTCTTTGTTTAAAAGGGTAATTTTCTGATTTAGATAGATTTGAAGCGGTCGCAGTGCTGCATATGTAGATATATGAGTACATACATGCACCCGTATCTCTGTAGCGATTATTGGCAATATGCCAGCAGGGAACATGTCTGAAATTGCTTTCTCATCGTGTAGAACAAAGGCCTTCAAGCGGGTTTTTGACCGTTTCACTTCGCTTTTTTCGCGTTTTTCTGATTGCATAGAGCCCCTGCTACCATTTTAGACCGAGGACCAAATTATCGTGTCCTTATGCCTTCAATGAAAACGATGTTCTCGTCGGGCTACACCTCGGCGGCTCTGGTCACCTGCGTCTAAACCTGAAGGTTTCCGTGGAAGGGATCGTACATAGGATGCGGACCACTGCTCTAATGAATTCCTACCGTTCATGCCATACTGCGAATTATAAGTAGCGGTGTTACGTGCGTCTCCTCAATTCTATACGTATATGGAGACGCCTACAGTAAGTCTCATTCGCTACTGACTAACATCCGCATGTGACGGCGGATTTGCGGTGGAACCCTGGTGAGTGCGCTTTTCGAATTCTGTAGAATTTTCTTGTTGAGTTCCGAACACATCATCGGAACTGCTAGGGTTGGTTGGGCGCTTGGCGGGGTAGTGTTCATCTCCTTAACTCGAAACGCGTTTAGGCCTCTGAAGAAGACGACCACGTCGAAACGTTAGGCCGCTAAATAAATATTCCACCTAAAAACCTCGAGAGGCACAGCAGTATAAACGAATCATACAACGATGCCGAAGTTACAGCAAGAGAGAAGCTGGAGATTGCTATGAGAGTGTGCCATAATCATGATTGGGATACTGATTGGCCCCAATAGATCACTCTGTCAGCAAGTTGTTCTAAGTGCGATGCATTTCTACAGCATGATGGTTTTATTGATTGGCTACATTACAGCAAAAGGTTGTACAAATAAACTACGAGAGCCGTTCATGGCCCAACCATATGCAGGAATTCGTATCTCTACAGGGATATATAACAGGGAACTTGCGCAACAGTCAAAACATAGGAAAATTTCAGTTCTGAAGAGTATGTCACGCGGCCACAGGGAGCAGACAAGCGTGACACACCATGTATGTCACGCGATCCTTAATGTGTTATGATGCTACCTATCTATTCCTATTTCCTCTTATGAGTGACTGGCTAAGCTGAAGCTAAAGTAACTGCTCGCTGTCTCTTTGCCACTTGAGTAGAAGCCGTAACGAAAGAGTATGGAAACACACCAGTATTACATCACTACATTCGTACAACCAATAAGTTTTTTTAGCATGCTCACATGCTATTTTACAAGCCCCATTTTCAGCTTCAAGCAGTAGTGACGTCCGAAAATTTCGCTGTTTGCCTTTCCCTGATCTTCCTGTGATCACTCGGTACACAAAGCTTTCGTATCTCCCTGTGTTTTGGGCTTCTTTTCAAGCATATATGTAATGACTATCAACTATCCCGAACTGATTTCTTTTGGTCCGGACAGGTCCGGTCTGAAATTTCACTCCCCACAATCATTTTCAAGATGTGCTGTCACGTATACTCCTAAGAGCGAGAGTGCGCAGGCTTCGCGCTTCATTCGATCGTAGCGGTGCCTGCGCTTCTGCTGGGATATTTCCAATTTGCCACTTGCACCATCATTTACTTGTTCAACACTGGACATGATGGCAGCAGCCTACAAAGGAAATCATCCTAAAGGAACGCATCGTACCCAAATGAAGTACGCAGCCACGCCCACTCCATAGCCGGCATAAGCTGTGTAGTGTTGTTTGTATGAAAATAAATTACATTCAGCGGAACCTTTTATTCAATATGCCATGCAAAAGTTACCAGAATGGGGAAGAATTTGGTTTCTTAAATGTATTCTTAACAACGCCACTTCCACTCTGGCTGCACTACCTTTGCACAGCTTCTTTTGATCCCTCTTTTGAACGGTCTTTTGTTGTGGTGTCTCTCGATTCTCTCCGACGTCGTCGTCCAGCTTTGCCCCCTTCTAATGATTGCTGTTCCAACTCTTGTGCAGCTTCTCGTACACGCTGTTCCCATGTCTTTGCAAGCCGTTCCTGAAGCATAGAATCCCAACCTTCATTTCTGAACGAAACAGAAGTGAATTTTACCTTATAGTGCTTTTTCCGATGTCTCATTATAAGGAGCATGATAGCTGTAGAGATAACAATGAGCACAACGATTGCGGCTAATGCCGCGATGAGGATTGTTCTAAAAACTGATTCAGCAGTACTTGACTTAATGGGAGACAATAGAGTTTTGTTTAGCGTTGATGAAGGAAAAGGGATGAACTGAATCCATTCCTT